TTTTTTTTTGGTACATACAGGGGCTGTATTAAGCAGCGCATAAAAATGTTTTTATTTTCTACATTTAAAATTCAAATGTCTGTTTAGCTGACAAATATTATATCTAATCCACTTTATTTGCAATGAAGAAAGCAAACAGTGAGAGCGTCACTATATGTCGGTTTTGACGACTCAGTCACGCCTATTGAGACTAAAATCCTGTCATTCTGACCATCATCCTTCAGATGAAGATAGCTTCTACGGCCTGTCCAGCTTGATTTTCTGAGATGCCTGTCCTGTGAGCTCATCTTGATTGTTGGCAGCTGATAAAAGACCAATAAAACTCCAGCTTTATCACCAATTAATCACTCACTGTGATTTACAACATACAATAAACAAATGAAATCATTGGCTTATTGACATTATAAAATAAATCATCCTGCAGGCACCATTTATCTGTTTGAATTTCATAAAACGGCTCTAATTGTGTTTGATGTGAAGTGAAGCTCACATATCTGATTAGCGTTGACAGGGCGGTCCATTTTCAGCCAACAGTTTCTGTCAGCGGGAAGATCAGAAGTGAGGAGAAGGTGCACAGGAGACCTGCGTCCTGTCACAAGGTTTAACTGCATTATCTGTTGAACGAGAGACATTCTTTTGTATTTATGCATTTTTCCAAATTAGAAGGGACCAGATAATCATTTTTTTCATCACTGATCAGTGTAGCAGCACAGACTCACTGTCATCTGATAAAGGGCTGTTGTTATCATGCTTATTAGGTTCAGCAGTTCTGAAGGTCCCTGGTTCACTGCATCAAAGCACACATGCATTAAATGTGTCTCTACTCTCGACTCAGAGAGTGGAGAACAAGCATAAATCACTGCCGAGAAGCACTTAATTGTTACAACATGGCTTCATTGAGGCAATGCAGCTTCTTGAGCATCAAGCATCTGTGCATGTGGTTAGATGTCATGAAACTACTTGTAGTCAACTTGCAAGTGCATTTTTTCCTCTTACCTGTAACTGGTTATTCTCCCAATTGACCTTGTGGTACTTTTGGCACCTCTAGTTTCTGTCGGTCTGCAAAAAGAAAATGGTAAATAACACTTTAGTTTAGACGGTTTATACATTCCTTGATGTAGCCTTCCCTAAGGTGCTTTCCTCTATAACGGCTTTTTGTGAATGAGACTCTCAGTCTAGATTTGTGGTCTTCCTTAGGTCTCCTCCTGAAGCTCAAGGTAGTGTGTGGTCCTTGCTCTTCTGCAATCCCACCACGCAGCTCTCTTACAAAACTCTTCAGCTCCACAAGGGGGTCAGAGACTCTCATCTGGAAAGATTCCAGAGGGAAATCCGTTCCAGCACATCCTGTCAGTTCAGATATTTAAGTGTGTGGGTGGTTAGAAGGGCTTTTTTTCATACCGCCATTAGGCCATTAACGTTATGCTGAGCGAGGGGAAGATGAGTCTGTATGCTGACTGGAGATCTGGAGATGTTACGCAAGTTCTGGCTTCGCAATTCCTTACCAAAAACATACACATGGGGAGATGGCATAACAGCAAAAGAATAATAAAGTTTGACTAGAAGATGATATAAAATAATTACTACTACAGTAAATTTGTGTACATTTTTACCTTTATATCTAATGCATGCTGCAGTTTCAGTCTCATTAGCTCCTGCTCCTGCTTCTGAATAAATTCTTGGCATTCAGCAAAACTGTCAGACATCTGTACATTATATATTATAATGTTATGGTTTACAATGTTGGTCATATAGAACATCTTTTCCATCATCTGTTCAGTACTTTTGTATTGAAATAATCGGCAGTTTAGCAAGAAGCCCATCAGGCACCTTGTATAAAGCTGCTTCCAGTTTCTCAGCTTTGTCTTTGAGCTCTCGCTCTTGTGAGCCTCCACTTCAGACTCGTCTTCTCCTGCTCTCCCTCTCTGACAACAGCTCTTGTGTCTGCGTCATAACCAGTAATGCCTGACGGTGCTTCTCCTTAGAGACACAAACACACTTATTTGCAAAAAAATATGCAAAAACAAACAGAAACAGAAGAAAGTAGCTGATTGGACTATGCCAAAGAAATCTGGGCATGTTTAGGTAGGTTGATATTTGTTCTTGCACGAACACTGCAAGAACACTGTAATATGTTATCTATTTAATCCTGCAAATCAACACATAGTTGCAGTAATACATTTACATACACATAATCTGCCAAATGTTAATAACTAAAAAAAATGGGAGTGAGAACAATATACAATGTTAATCCTGTTTAAAAGTTGACATCCCCCGGCTCTAAATGCATCATGTTTCCTTCTTGAACTTCAGTGAATGTTTGCAACTTTTGCAACGGTTATGTATAAGTTCCTCAGTTGTCCTCTGTTTGAAAAGATACTGCAGTCACGCCACCTGTGCTTCGGAGAACATGGATCTCAAAACCATAGCCACTGTTGGAAATAGTTCAAAGACGCAGAAGATGCTGGAAACCCAAGGAATGTGCAGGACCTGAAGTATTTTTCTGAAAAACAGCAGGCTGTTTAACTTAGGAAAAACAAATGACTCATAAACAACTATCACAAAACAAAAAAACTATTGTGGCCAATTCAGTTATTATTTAATCTTAGGGACTACATGTGAACATCTGTTGTGTGAAATAGCTTATTCAGGTCAGTATTACATATAAAAACAAATGTGATTTTCATGATTCATGATTTTTTTTAAAATTATTAACTTTTTGCAGATTCTGCTACTTGCATATAAACGTATGACTACCACTGTACAAGTATAGCAATTAAAACAGTGATTGGCCTGGAAACTGTCTCTCTGAGATGATTTCAAAATCAAATCATTTCTAACAAGTATATCAGATCAAGATACACCTACATTCAGGCCATGTTTCCCACTGTCTTTCTGATAATCCTCACCAATAAAAATTTCATGCATTTTGGTGATGGCAGAGGGGAATCCCTGACAGTGCTTTGTGAAAATATAAAAGTGCTCGACGGTCAACAAAATGATTTCCCTTGGTCTCAAGCTTAAGGGCACTTTTAGTCTCCTGTACAATAAAAAAAATATTAAAAGGTGACATTTTTAGAATGCAGACACCAGTAGGCTGAAACTCCAAAACTCATTTTACAGTGCTTTGAAACATCTGAGAAAATATCTTTCTCCAGTTTTTTTGAGCTATTGTTCATTATTGGGAACATACATAAATAGAAAAGTTTTTTTTGTTGTTGATCTGAACAATCATATCAGACGTGTTTCCAAACTGTCTGTAATTTAATCTCCAAATTTTAATAGCAGCTTGAACAGTCTGGGTCTGGACACTACCTTTTTTAAACACTGAATACAGTGTTGCACAGTAAAGACGTATTTTTCATTACTGTACTTTTTTTCGAGAACTTTTATTTTGAGAAACATTTATACTTACTTCACTACATTCCAAAAGCATAATATTTCATAAATTAATGGAAATTAACATTTCATAAAAACATACCATTCCTTGCCATCTCCTCTGAGACACAAGAGTGATGTCATATTTGTTTGCACATTTGAATTATCAGTAATTTACCGTATATTTTATAAGTTTCATATTATAATAGTGTATACAATTTATGGTAACAAGAAAAAGCTGGCTAGAATGAATAATTAACATGATTCATTGATCAGTACCTTTTTCTTTTAATATCCAAGTACATTAAAAATCAAGTACCTCTGTACTTTTACTGTAAATGTACTACTTTTACTGGAGTTATATTTTATTAGGGTATCTCAAGTGCTTGACTTGTGCATTTCATCCACCACTGATCACACACACACACACACACACACACACACACACTAATTAGTAAAAAGGTGGTATTGTGAGAAACGGAAAGCTGTTGTTAGTGATGCACCCCACCATCTTGAGCTTCTCTATGTTCTCCTCCAGCAGCTGGATTCGGCTTTGCAGGAAATCAGTCTGCTCCCTTTTAGCAGTGATCCGTTTCTGCATTCCCAGAGCAATCTTAAGACCTGAAATACATATAAAACACTCTCCAATCAGTTCAACCGTGGTAAATACCATGAATAAAACTCTCTGAAAAATAATTATTCACTGTCCTGTCAGCAACAGGAATATTATGTTCAGTGAGGTGTCGCCCTATCTGTGAAATGCTTGACATTCAAACTGAATGAACTCAGGTTGTTATGTTAGCTGCATCACATGTTCACAAGAGAATAACTTGAACTATACTGTTAATCAAAAAACACTTTGTCCAGTGAACCAATGAACTGAAACTTACGTCATATGAGACCATTTTCCCATTCAGTCCGTCTCACAATTGAATAGGACAAAATGAAACAATGGAGGGTTACAGAGGTCGGACCTAAGAAATCATAGCTACATTATGTACCGGCCCACAACCACAGC